ACTGTGCCTGCCCTCAGCCTTCCCCACCTGCTGCTCTTCAGCCTAACGTGCGGACAATCTTCCCCGCAGGTGCTGATTGTCCACACAAATCACCTCACTTCCCTGCTTCCGAAACCCTGCAGCCTCCTGAGTCTCATAACCATCAAGGTACTGTGGCCCTTCTCCCAGGCGTTAGGACTCTGCCTGATGTTCCAGGTGGCAGCCAAGCATCCCTCTGTTCAAGTTTATGCCAGGCAGATTTAACGTAATAATCATGGGTTCGGTCAGCATGGTTTATTGGGTACCTTCTACATGCTGGATATGGGGTGCAGTTACCAAGAAAACCAGCCACAGGCCCTGCCCTCAGGGAGCTTGCCCACTAGGTGGAAAGACTCATAGCAAGCGAACTAGCAGAGAGCAGGGAGAGTGATGGTCCCAGGCAAACAGGAACAGGATGGATGCCAGGCACCTGCCTAGTGGTCAGTGTGTGAAAGCCTTGCAACCTGGGGTGACTCTCTCCTGACTGTCAGGACAGGACTAGGATGTTGTGGTCGCACAATACGTGAGGTGTGACAGCAGGATTGAGCTACATGACTGGCAGCACAGGCATCCAAGTACTTTTACGGTTAACTCTAGTGTGCAGAAATCTGGGGTAGTTTTTACTTCTCTTCATTGTGCAACATGATTATTTTTGCAGTGAGAAGAAGACAACATTAAATATGTTGATATTTAGCCTGACCAGTGTGGCTCAGTGGTTGAGCATTGACCTGGGATCCAGGAGATCGAAGTTCTGTTCCCCGTCAGGGCAGCTGCCTGGATTTTGGACTCGATCCCCAGTAGAGGGCGTGCAGGAGGCGGCCTATCAATGACTCTCCCTCAGCATTGATGTTTCTCTCTCCCTTTCCCTTCCTCTCTCTGAAATCAGTGAAGATATATCTAAAGAAATAATAATAAACATGTTTATATTTATGTATACTCATATTTCACATGTATTTCATATATATGTATATCTTATGCCTTTTTTTAAATCCTCTCTCGATATTTTTTTCATTGATTTTTTTTAGAGTGAAGAAAAGGGGGGGAGAGAGAAAGAGAGAGAAAGAAAAACATCTAGCCCAGCCGGGCATGGCTCAGCGGTTGAGCGTCGACATAGGATCCAGGCAATCGGGGTTCGATTCCCGGTCAGGGCACATGCCCGGGTTGTGGGCTCGACCCCCAGTCAGGGGCATGCAGGAGGCAGCCGATCAATGACTCTCTCATCATTGATGTTTCTATCTCTCCCCCTCCTTTCCTCTCTCTGAAATCAATAAAGATATATTAAAAAAAAGAAAAACATCAATGTGAGAGAGACACATCGATTGGTTGCCTCCCACACGTGCCCAGTTGGGGCAGGAGTTGAGCCAAGGGCACCTCGATATGTGCTCTTGACCAGGAATCAAACCTGTGACCCTTCAGAGGGCCGACACTCTAACCAGTGAGCCAAACTGGCCAGGGTTCCTATGCCTTTATGCTCATTTTCATTGTTAAAAAAATTAACAAATACAGGTAAGCAGAAAATGAGGAAAAGCATGATTTCATACCCCAGAGAACCACTATCAATATTTTATTACATATTTAGTAGTCACTTTCTGTGTAAATATATATTTATACTATGAAGACTTTTTCTTTTTAACATGTAAATACCTTTGCATACTTTTTTCACACAACAGTAAACATAAATATTTGATAAAGGATGAAGTGGGATAATACTTTGGAAAAGGAAATGAGGTGGGATGATCATTTAGTGGGAGAGGAAAGGCTGGGTGCTCTGTCCCAACAGCAGAGGCCTGAGGCCGGCGTGCTCTCACCTCTCAGGACTTGAGTTCGGGGGGGCATGTCAGTTAGTCACTGTTAGGTGCTGAGCTTCTCTTCCTTCCCCAGGTTCTGGATCTTCATGATAATCAGCTCACAGCCCTTCCTGAGGATATAGGGCAGCTGAAAGCTCTTCAGGTAAAACTTCTAGAAACAGAAAGGCCACCTCTGATTGCCTAAAGTGAGAAATTGCAGCCACATAGGCCTAGAATGTTCTGGTTGTGCTCCGGCCAGGGAGGCACTTGGCGCCAGCTCCCCTGCCCCTTTGCTGTTAAGACACCCAGCAATGCCCTCACCTTTGCAGTCTGGGCTATGGGCATCCCCCTACCATATTTTTGGCTTGTCCTTTTTGGGATTTCATCATGAGCTTCCACAACTTTACAGAAAAAGAGCCCCCAGTGGGTGCACCTTTTAAAACGCTGAGTTCAGCACTCGGACTCTCTGGCTCTCGTCCAGGCCATGTGAGCAGCCCTCCCCCCATTTGCTGAGGGCTTACTGCGCTCCAGCACAGCTAAGTGTTTCCCTTGCATTGTCTGTTGCTTCAGCCTCCTAGTGAGGCAGGTGTTGACTGTCCCCATTTTCCAGAGGACAGAGCGGCTTTCCTTCACACTTAGAGTAAAATTCCTTCTCACCGTGAACAGTCAGACCTTATGTGATGGGTCCACCTGTCTCTCCAGCCTCCTCCCTGCTTTCTCCCCTGTTCCCTGCAGTCAGCTCCTAACAGCTTCCAGCCTTCTGTGCCCACCTCTCCACAAGGCTTTTTCTCGGCTAATCATCTCAGCCCGAATGTTCCTGAGGATCCTTCCTGGCCTCCCTGTCTAAGCAGATTTACCTTATTCGCCTGTGTCAACCCCCAGATTATTTCCCCGAGAGCACTACTGCAGTATAATTGCTAATTGTGTGTCTTGGTTCGACTATCTCCCCTACTGAAATGTGGTCTGTGTAAATGATGGAACCTCAGCCAGAACGGGGTTCAAGGCCTGGCTTTGCTCTCTTGAGCACATGGTTTTCACTAGTCTGCGCCTCAGTTTTCTCATCTCTCAGTTGGGATCAGAACAACACCTTCCTCACCAGGCTGTTAGGAGAAGGTAAAGCGGTGTGCGTGAAGGGCCCAGATGTTTCCTGGCCTGAAGCAGGGGTATCACTATTGTCTGTATGTGGGTCCCATCAGTTTTTTTTCTTTCTTAGGTATTGAACTTGGAAAGGAATCAACTGACGTATCTCCCACGTTCCATTGGGAACCTGACCCAGCTCCAGACCCTCAATGTGAAAGGTAGGAGTCAAGAAGCCCTGTCCGTGTGACTGTCAGCTCTGTCCCAGGCAGCATCCTCCTGGGAGCCATTGAGCATGAGGGCAGCCAGTCCCGAGGTGTCCCTGTATGCTGGACTGACCACCTGTTGGGTCGTTCTGCCTCCTTGGTAACCGTAGATAGGACCTTGTGGGGAGGAGGCAGGCAGCACTGACAGCTAGGCCTCTGAGACGCCAGCGTGTGTCACACTGAGTATGGCAGTGCGCGTGGTGGACGGACTGCGTGAGAGCGACTCGGGCCCCAGGCATGGTTCTGAGTAGCGCGTCACACTGAGTGAGGAGTAGTGCGGCCACCGCCTGCAAGTCCGTNGTCACACTGAGTATGGCAATGCGCGTGGTGGACGGACTGCGTGAGAGCGACTCGGGCCCCAGGCATGGTTCTGAGTAGCGCGTCACACTGAGTGAGGAGTAGTGCGGCCACCGCCTGCAAGTCCGTGAGGCCTGGAGAGGGAGGAGGTGTCATCCCCCAGTTACAGAGGAAGAGGAGGAGACGCAGAGCAGTGCCGTGCGCAGGGCCACCCGCATGGCAAGGACAGACCCAGACCGCATGCGCCAGTGGAGTGCCTGCCTCACGGCGCCCCCGCCCTTTCATTGCTCCTGGCTGTTTGGAGCACTTTCTGCACAGAATATCTCAGTCTACCTGAGTGTAGCACAAATGACGATAAAAATAGTGGCGCCCCGTTTACCAATTTCTTGCTGTGATGGACCCTGTGCCAAGGACCTCACATGCGCAATCTCATTGAATTCCTCAATATTCCCATGAGGCCAAATGGTATTCTTTTCCCATTTTACTGATGAGAAGACTGTGACTGAGGAAGGTAAAGTCCGTTTTCCAGAGTCACCCAGCTAGTAAGCTGTGGGAAACTTGAACCCAGCTCTCTGAAACCCCATTGTCGTATTCTCCCTCACAGAGTCTCAGGGTCAGAGTGAGGCACCCACTTCCCCCAAGTCCTGGTGGGTGTCAGGCAGGAAGCTGGTGACAGGGTTTTGGGATGTTTAGCTGTGCCATTGCGATCTCTCCAGACAACAAGCTGAAGGAGCTTCCAGACACTTTGGGGGAACTTCGGAGCCTACGTACTCTCGACATCCGTGAAAATGAGATTCAGAGGTTGCCGCAGATGCTGGCTCATGTTCGAACCCTGGAGGTTAGTGGAGCCATCCCTCCCGGGGTTCTCTCTGGCCTGCGATGAGGGAAATGTCCAGTGACTGCTGTCCAAACCGGTAGCCACTAGCCATGTGTGGCTGTGGAGCACTTGTGTGTGACCAGTATGACGAAGGAACTACATGTTTCACTTTATTGAATTTTAATTCATTTACATTTAAATGGCTACCTGTGCTCAGTTGCTACCTTATTGGACAGCACAGCTCAGAGCAGTGTTCCTAATTCTGAAGCCATTCTAATTCAGCTGGTAAGAGCTCTGTGATTCGTTTTGTATCGATTGTTTAAACAAAAATCTTTTGAGCTTCTTGGTGGTGCCTTCAACAAACCTGTTTTCAGGATGAGACTGTAACAGCAGTCATTCTTAGTTGAGGCCAAGTTCTTTTTCACATATTCTCTCCTATTTGCCATCAAACAGCCTCCAGGTCAGTGATATTGTGCCTGTTTAAGTCTGAGGGAGCTTCAGCTCTGGAAGGTCCACTGGCCCATTCAAGGGTACCCAGCTAGCCATGGCGAGCTAGAATCTGAGACCAGGGCTG